ATATATATATATATATATATATACTAATTTTAAAAATGTGTATTTTCTATTATGATAATATTATTACTGATAATATATTTTATTATTCTAAACAATTAAATGTAATATTATAATATCACAATATTATTCAGCTATTACTATTATTATTGTTGTTGTTATAGATTAATGATTTTAATATTTTCTTGTACATGTTTTTATTGTTGTATTTATTATTTGGAAAACTGCGCTGGTATTCACAAAACATTTTATCTTACTACTAACGCCTGTTTCACACATACTCCGTCTGCAGTGCGTGTGCGTTGCGTTTTTTTTTTACGCACCCATGTTAACGGATTAGAGCTTTCACACTGCACGCGGTTGCGGTCCGTCAGTGCGTTCCAGGTGCGGTGCGTCTGCAGCAGTGCAGCGATCGTTTACGTACCGAGTCTATTTTTGCTGTGCTGCATGCGCTGAATTAAAGTGACAGCGCTTTGTTCGCGGTAAAAATTAACATGGATTGGAGACATTGAGACTGAAATGTAGTAATTTCACAATAAATAGATATAATTAAAGTCTACTGTGTTTCACGGGCTTTTTGGCTAGGTTTAAAACAAATAAAAGTGCACTTTTAGATATACAAGGCAACATATGCACTTGTGTCTTGTGGAGGTATAAAAAAAAAGTTCTTCGAGTCACTAATTAAACAAGTATATGCTCAGCTAATTTTCAGCCTCTTACATGTATGCTTCTTGTAAACAATTAGCGAATATGTATATAGACAGCCTTTTAATTAACAGAGTGGAAATAGTAAGACATGCAAACGTAAAAGAAAACCAAACTGGACACAGGCACAACTGTTACTTCTTGCCCAACTGGTTAATGAAAAGAAGGACATAATCAAAGGAAAATTTGGAGTTGGGATAACCTTCAAAACCAAAGGTGATACCTTTATAAAAGCTCATTATAGTCGAATATTTCTAAAATGTTTACGTTCCGAGGCAGATTGCAGGCAACAGCCATTTTATGATAGTTTATGGCTTGGTCTTAGTGACTTAGGAGTTCTCTTCACTACTCCTAACGTTTCACAGATTTAGGAGCTAGTTTTAGCGCTAACATGCTTTGTGAAATACTTTTAGATCAAAAGTTTAGGAGTCCTAAATTTAGGACTGACCCGCCCATTATTTGTAAGATTTTGTCCTAAATCGGCGAGTTACGAGCTACTTTTAGCCTTAAGATGTTTTGTGAATACGGGCCCAGATTTTTATTTGTTTTCCTTTTTGATTCCTCAGATTATTTATTGTTTATATAGATGCATTTAAATTTATATCTGACTGTTTGCTCCCAGGTCCACATTTAAAGGCCTGTTGCAGTGCTAAATGAAATTTGCATTTACAAAAAAAAATAAAAAATTAGGAGCTACAATATCAGAGTGTAGCTATTTACACTTTTCCCCCTATATGTTTGTTTATTTGTGTCCTGATCTTGGACTCAACTTTAGTTGAATGTCCACACTTTTTTATAATTCCTCTAAATAATGCCGCCAACACAGTGCAGATATTTGCACCCTGATAGTCTGTAGTTTGAATAATTATTCAGTTGACTATGCAATTAATAGTTTGGATAATTATCCACATATGAGTACAAGGGTGCAAATAGAATAGAGCAGTATTTGCTTTATACATCATTGCCTATCTGGGATGCAAACTGTATATTAGAATTTACTTATACTGAGGTGCAAATAACATCTGCTGGATATATATTTATTTATAAGTTGCAAAAAAGGATATTACCTTTCAAATAATGTGAGTTATATTCCTGTTTTAATGTCAAATTTCTTCAAATTGGACCTGAAAAGCAAAAACTGTAGAGCCAAAATGTTAAAATCCAGGGTTTGGTTTCCAGTCTAAGCACCCAGATGAGACAGCTCTCCTTTGCGCTGTTTTAGACACTGTAAATGTGTGCGTATGTAATCCTATATAAATATGCAAGCTGGTATTTAGCCGTCTGAGTAGCTCAGTGAACACACACCTTGCATACATTGTGATCTCCTGCTCATCCGCAGGAGCTGATTGCACAATATCTCCTCATGCACTACATGTGTGCACTGAAATTAAATGTATAGCATCATGTTCATTTTAGACTATTATAAAGGAATTTCTAATGAATTCATTTATGGCAGTTTGTGAAGAGTAACAAAGTAACGTAAGTCTCAAAATAATGAAAAATAATTCAATGACAATGAGCTAATTGTTAATTTGTAATAATTTATGACCATTAGATCTATTAAAGAATTACCCAAAATTTCAATTTGCTGAAAACTCACTCACCCTCAAGCCATCCAAGATGTAGTTGGAGTTTGTTTCTTCATCTGAACAGATTTGAAGAAGTTTAGCATGACATCACTTGCCCAACAAATGGATCCTCTGCAGTGAATGGGTGCCGTCAAAATGAGAGTCCAAACAGCTGATAAAAACATCACAATAATCCACAAGTAATCCACACCACTCCAGTCCATCAATTAATGTCTTATAAAGTGAAAATCTGTGTGTTTGTCATAAACAAATCCATCATTAAGATGTTTTAACTTTAAACTGTCGCTTACGGTCAAAATAACAGCCCAGATTGTATAATATCACTTCCTCCAGTATAAAAAAGTCCTTATGGCCAAAATAACATATTATCGCTTCCTCCAGTAAAAAAAAAAAAGTCCATCCCCTGTTGTTCCTCACTTTAAAATTCACTGACATATTTGTTTAGAACTATTTTGGATTGTTTTCGTTGTAAACTGTGCTTGGTTTGTGCATATTTCTCTCCTGATTCAGACGAGGCAACTTTTTCACTGGAAAAAACAATATTATGGATAAAGGACTCATATGATGGATTAATGTTGGATTTCTTTCCAGCAGCTTTCTTATTAGTTTCAGCACTTTTCACTACAAGATGTTAACTGAATGACTGGAGTGGTGTGGATTACTTATGGTGTTTTTATCAGCTGTTTGTCTCTTATTCTGACGGCACCCATTCACTGCAGAGGATCGGTTGGTGAGCCAGTGATGTAATGCTACATTTCTCCAATTCTGTTCCGATGAAGAAACAAACTCATCTTGGATGGCCTGTGGTTGAGTAGATTTTCAGCAAATGTACATTGATGTCTTAACTATTCCTTTAAGTTAGACACCAAAGGTGGTAACATCAGTTACTCGGAGGTGCTTAAGGAGTTGTGTAACCCACTCTACATGCACACGCTGTCTTAATCATTGTGTATCTGTACCCAGCAGTCTGTGTCTGATCGGACCGAAAGAGGGAGAGCGAACAGAACTGTAGGTGCTGTGATGGTTTCCGCACTATTCAGCACTTCAGAGGTTTAATCTGCATATGTGTGATCATGGATTCTCCTACACGTTTCTCAGAAAGCCGTGGCGATGGAGATAATCTGATTACATGCTGTTTATGCTGGTGTAGACCAGTGAGAGTGACTAATAGTGTTACATAATGCATGGCTGATGTAGGTGCATCTTGTTTCTGTACTTAATTTCTGCAGTTTTTAAATGGTTGTTTCTTTAGAAATATCTACAGATCTCTGTAGTGTTTACAGATAAACTAAACCCCTATTAAACTGAGGGTTCCCACTTCCCACTCCTTATAACCCAGCTAACAAAATATGTTCTAGGAACGTTTTGCTAACGTTCTCATTAGGTTATGAAAATGCTATTTCTGAATGTTCTTTGAACGCCCAAAACGTCCAGAACAGTAAAAACGTCCAAAACGTTTTTTTTGTTGTTGTTGTTGTTGTTTTTGTTTAACATTGTCTCTAACATTCACATAAACATTGTTTATCTGAATGGTAGAGAAAACATTACGGAAATGTTCCATTTTGTAATTGCAAACATTATGGGAATGTTAGTTTTGAATGTTCTTTGAACCATCTTTTTTTTTAAGTTATACGAATTTAGAAGGCCCAGCTAAAATGATTTAGAAAAACATTCCATTAACACCAAGGAAAAAGGTGGATAATATTTTTGTGCTAACGTCTTTAGAACGTCATTAAAGACACTTGGAAGGAACGTTGTATTAAAGTTAATGGAGGAATGTTTGTTCGTAACTTTGAGATCCTTGTCGGAACGTTCGCCAAAGTTTTGAGAAAGTTCCCTGCTAGCTGAGAACCAGCAAATTTCTAGCCTAATTATTTGAAAAACTTTTCCAGGAGTTTGTGATCGAGCATAACAAATTTTTTTTTCTCTCAAATTTCTATGATTTTCTTTTTCAGATCTGGAAATAACACTTAAAATATTAGTACCAACATTTTTTCCCCTTAAATAATGTGAGGTAAAACAAACTGAGATAAAGTATTTAATGATTTTGTTAACTCAGGTCATTTTAAGCATTTTGTATAATTTAATTTGATGTTAATTCAGTGTTAAATAAAAAATAAATTAAAAGGGTGAATCTTGTCATTGACCTGCGGGTGCCACTGCACTTCTGGTTACCTCTCAAGGCCCCGCCTCTTTGGGAACGTCACGGACCCTTCGCACGCCTCTCGTCAAATCAAGTTCTGAGGGGCTCGAGACACAGCAACCGCGTGCGCTCGGGTTTGACTTAAAATAACGACTAACGTTATCTGTTAACGTTAAACGGTCAAACGCCTCACATGTAACACATATACATATCGGATGTATTATATTAACAGCCACGTAAACGAGGTTTAAGACGTCAAGTTCGCTGTGTTTTAAAAAGATCAACATATCAGAAGTCCCGGTGAGTGATGCCACATTGATTTCATTGTAGCATTTCGTTTTATCTGACTGTATTTTGGTCTGCGTTGATCTTTCTCAAATAACGTTAAATAAACTATTTTTATTGCACTGCTGAAAGTCTACAGATTCTAGTTTACTCAAAACCCGCCAGCAAATTTACCAATCCTACTACGGCGAAGATTTATCTCATGAATATTAATTTGAGTCTTTTCCACAGCCTTCATTCACTAAGCTTAATTGATATTCATGAGCCAAGACTTCGCCATAGTAGGATTCATAATTCCGTTTGTTTTCGTAAATATACAGTAGATACAGTAAACGTAAGGCAAGACTGTTGTTGAACGTCTCGGTAGCCAACATGGTTATTAACCCAGCCTGGCGTCAGCTGTATTTGAAAGCACCATCTGTGATGCTTTGTAATGGAAATGATGGTGCATGAAGCGATCTGACCAGGATGTTCACAGTTGATCAGCTCAAAGAGATTCATGGGCCGGATTTTCCTCATTCTTTTCTTTCAGCAATCCAGTTCTCGCTGTTAGTGACTGAGAAGAGAACGTAAAGACAGGAGGTTGAGGGTTAATGTAAATAGACACTTTCACTATGTGTGTGTGTTTGTCTGTGGGACTGTCCAAACCTTTGCTTTAGTGAAATTATATGTAAGTTTCCTTCAAAGAATAGTTCACCCAATAATGAAAATGTCTTTATTTACCAACCCTTATGTTGTTCTTTTGCAGAACAAACATGGACTAATTAAATGTATTTATGTATGTGGGTTGTATATACAGTGGTGTGAAAAAGTGTTGGCCCCCTTCCTGATTTCTTATTTTTTTGCATGTTTGTCACACTTTAATGTTTCAGATCATCAAACAAATTTAAATATTAGTAAAAGATAACACAACATGCAGTTTTTAAATGAAGGTTTTTATTATTAAAGGAAAACAAAATCCAAAACTACATGACCCTGTGTGAAGAAGTGTTTGCCCCCCTCTTAAAACTGCGGTTTATCACACCTGAGTTCAATTTCTCTAGCCACACCCAGGCCTGATTACTGCCACACCTGTTCGCAATCAAGAAATCTCTTAAATAGGAACTGCCTGACAAAGTGAAGTAGACGACGAGGGCGCTTGGTGACACTAGGGTGTGACTGGAGCAGAGATGGAAGGAAGTGACGTAGGATCAGGAAGTGAGCTGGACATAGAGGATGAATGTATTGGCGGGGAGAAAGGAGGTAAAAATGGAAATTGGAACATAGTAGAAAATCGGAAAAGGAAAAAAAAATGGAATCAACTTTCTGGTTCGGAAAGTGAAAGGGAAAGACAACAGGAGAAAAGGAAAAAGGTAGAGTTTAAGGTAATGATAAATTTCTTGCCCGATGATATGAATGCATTTGTTACGGGGCTGACAAGACGTGAGACGTGCGGATCCATGTGCAAGCTTTTATTT